GTTTGCTTTGCATTGCTTCGTTTCTTTACATTTACCCCGCTTCGGTTTACCTCGTTTCGTACTATCACGCGCTTTGCTTTCCTTATTTTTCTTGGTCCAGTTTCCGCTCCGATTTTAAACCTCGCCTCTCTTCTTGGGACGACGCGCGCGCGCGTCCTTCCATTCCTCGCTCAACTTGCCTTCGTTGAGCCTCGCGCGCCATTCTCCTACTTCCCCTTATTCCGCTTTGCTCCGTCTCGCGTGAACCCGGGGGCTTTGGAGAAATCCAAGCCGGATTGACGGCGCTATGTAATTTACTCGCCGTGCAGGAACGAAACGGAGCGCAGGGCCGCCCTTCTGATTTTACGCAATGCATTTTAATCGCGGATTTAACATTGCGGCAACGGCGGCTCGTTTCGAAGATCAACCTTGAAAATCGACCTGACGCGAAGTCGCGCGTGCGAAGGGAAGAGGCGAAATCTGAGACTCCGCAATAACGTCCTGGGGCTCTCCACAGCCTTATCTCTTCTTGTTCTCTTTCTCCCGTTCTTAACGTTTTTCACGACTTTTCCACGACTCATTTCGATCTTTTGCATCTTTCTCTCTCTCTTCCTATTTGGGTCTCTGCGTTTTCCTCATTCTCCGTGTTCTTCCGCGCGCAACGTATTTTCTTTAGGGCGCTCAGGATTTCTCCGAGTTTGCCATTTTGTTCCAATATCTCGCGAACAGTCCGAGATCTTGCCAATTCCCGACACTTTCTTCGTTGTAAACGCGACGCTTCCGTTGAACAAGCGGCACGATTTTCACCCTCTGTGTAATTCGAGACTTCACGGGGGGGTGGAGGCTTCTATCCTCCTCCCTTCTTGCGCCAACCCGTTCTCACCATCTCACCCCTTTACCCCCGAGGCTCGACTTCTCTCCCTCGCGCGATCACCATTCGCGCCTCATAATTAAAGTCTGGAGACACCGAGTATTTTCTATTAACATTCCTGGCTAACCCAGCGTGTTCAAAATGACCGCAGCTATTGCGGAATGTTGCGCAGCCGACCGGCCGCATTCGGGATGCACTTCTGCGCAGCTGGAATGCAGCTGCTTTTGCCGCCATTCGGACTGTGTTGTAACATTTGTCCCGCCTGCAGAAATTTGTTGTTTCAGTTTATACTTAATATTGCACGCGAATGTTATACTGCGTGTGCAGAACTGGAGTATTTCAGGAAACCCACTACGCTCTTTGGAATTATTTACATTGTATCTGCGCGCTGCACATTACATCTTGTCTGTATCATCGTTTTATTAGTATAAAATAATTTATGTCCAATCTTATATAAAACGAGCCAAAATCTACACAATCAAAAAAAGACAAAAATGTATATATATATATATATATATATATACATACACATATTTTTGTACGTGATATAACATCTTATTCTAAGAAATAAACATAAACTCGATGAAACTATTTTATACATAATATTATATTCTTATTATATTCTATTATTAATATTCCTACTTTTTTTCAAACAAATATTGCATTTATTCATTTGTTTATACAGCGACTGTTAAAATAAATTTAACAATATTTTACATCCAAATTTATATAAAAGTCAATAGAAATCAATTATATATAAAAATTGAGAATTCATGGTCTCTATATTCACAATGTTCTGATAAAATTCTATACGCATGATTAACCAATCACGTTGGAATATGCTTTGAAACCATCCATTGATATTCGACAGACATACCTGTGGAACTTTGTTAGCGCGTTCTGAATATTGAGCTTATTGACATATTTCTGTAAAAAAAGGTCGTATTAATTACATAATAAAATTTATAACTCTTTGATATAAAATTACTGTGAGTGCAGATACTCGTACTTTTATATTCATAAATTATCACCGATTAAACAGTAATTATACGGCTAATAATGACCAAAAGTGGTGATCGAAAAGCTTTGAAAACTTTATTATTTGAAAGCAGTAATTTACCAATATTTTGATCTTACATTGATGGAAAAGTTATTTATTTAGATTATATTTATTGGTTATATTTTTTCATCTATATTTTAATTCTTTTTAAAGAGACGGAGAAAAAGAAGAATTGAAATCTTTTTAAATAGAATTTATTTTTCATTTATTGTATTGTAAGTAATAAAATAATTTAATAGGTACACGTTAGAATTTTGTGTAGTTAACTTTATATATATCATGAATCATGCTTGTTAAGATTCTATTATTTTTATTTCAGTACTTTTTAAATGGTTTAATGTATTTTATATACACACACAAATTTATTTAAATACACATACACATAAATAATATATGAAAATCTTGCAAGTATTTTTAATGTTGGTCATTTTTTCTTGAAAAAGACATCGAGACGTCATTTTATAAATTGATATTTATTCTTTTATACTTTATTTCATTTTATAAATTGCATCAATATAGAATTTTAAATTAAGATTTAAATTAATCAAGATGTCTAGCGTTGAAAATTAAAAAATATCAAAGTATCTGGCATTTAATTGAAATTTAGTCTAAGAAAAAAATCAGTAACAAATTGCCAAATTTCAAAATTATGTTTAATGAACATAATTGCTATAAATATGTAATTTCATACATTTGGAAAAAGCCACTGTGAAAATACAGACAGTGATTTTTTTTTATTTCTAACTTTCCGCGGAAAAAACAATTATTATTGATCTTTTCGAAAATTTCCCCTTGTGTGCGAAACAAAACTTTTGGTTAACATCGATTTCGAGATTGATTGTTTTTTTTTCAACCGCTGAAAAATTTTCGTACGTAGATATTGGCAAGCGGTTATTTTAGCGAGAGAACTGCAATGCTCGCGAGGCCTTGTGTAAACAATCGTGATTGTTTAATGAAAAAGCCACTTATCCTCGTTTCGTAAACATACTTCTAATAAACCACGTGAAATATTGCCTCCACCTTGACGCAAGCGAACCCGCAAGGTGAGTCCGAAATAGTCCGATATAGACCGAAATATTTTCGCGACTCTATGAATAATACATTCCTCGAATCTTGTAATTTCGGAATGATTATTTGAAATAGATATTTTGAGGCATTTTTTACACGGAACATTTTTAAAAGTTAAAGCTAACAGATATTTAATTTAACAAAATTTATTCAAAATTTAATTTCTTAATTTTTTAATAAATAAATCAATATAAATTAGATTCGCTAAATTTTATATTGTATAATAATTTACGTTCTGATAAAAACTTGAAACTAATTGTCAATTTTAGAATTCTCATCGACTCCTTGCTGTAAAAAAAAGCGTGCTTTTACCTTTGGCGTTTATTAAAATTCACAGAATCGATAAGATATCGTTATAAACGTTATAATGACGGTAATAATTTTCTGTAAAAACAGGGTTATCGAGATTATTATTCAAACGATTTTCCCGAGTATCCAATTTTTCCCAGATAAATCACGAAAAGTTGATGCGATCGTAATGCGATATTAATTAATAATTCGGCGGAAAGGGAGCACGTCCGTGGCGCGAAGAGAGGCCCCGGCTTTGATTAGTATACGGGACGCGTGCTAATTTAAATATCATTTGCACGGAGCTCAAGTGCCAGCAGTCATTAGCGTGGAAAGAATTTAATTACGATTGTTCGTAATCAGTACACGCCGCGGTGCTGATTTCAAGTTAATCCCCCGCCCTCCCCCTCCCCCCCTTCCCCTCGCCCTATGCACGAGCTCTCAGGGCTCGTCCGAGCGGATGAACGGGTCCTTATTCGGGAGCGACGGCACGTCCCGATAAGCAGAAATTGATAACGAATTTTCCGGCAGCAGTTTTAGTGTGCAGCGAGAGTGTGCCCGTCGTCTAGTCTGCGAGAGAGCGAACGACAAGGGTAATGCGGGAGTTTAGTGCCAAGTTTTGCGAGTCGCGCTCAGAGCTCATCCGAGCCGGAGATTTTGCGAGTGAGGCGCGTAAGCTCGCGGGGCAATCGCGTAGACTGATATTTCGCAGCTGCTGCGACGCGAAAGAGAATTAAGTTGTGAAGTTCACCCGGCAGTAATCTAACTCGTTGCTTGGAACAAACGGCAATACGGCGGGGTGTACATTCGAGGATGGCACGTGGTAATAAATGACGCGATTAAAGCTCGCTAATCCGTAAATGTTTTCAGATTTTGTGCGTTTGAATTGACGGAAAACAGATATTTCGATTTTCGAAAGATATCTGACTTCTCTTTGACATTCTTCTCTCTATCTCTCTTTTGGAGCTTTACATATATAATCGTCATTTCTAGAGAATGGCTAAATACCCACGAATATTTTGAATATTCTCTTTCTGCATTTTACTCGGATATTTATTTTATTAGTCCGGTTTTTGGAATATTTATATTTGTGGATATTTGAATATTTATGTTATTACTATGTAAAACTATGTCGCTCGAAACAAGTGACAATACCAGGCGGTATATATTCGGGGATGCAGCATGGGGTATGTAATAAATTACACGATAAAAATTCCATGAATCCATAAATGCGTTTGGATTTTATGCGTTTAAATTTAAATTGCTCCTGCGGGATTAACAAAAATATTTCAATATTTTTTTTATATTGCGAATGCTTAATTTTAGGACAGAATTAGCTACTCACGAAGGATGTTATTCTTTATAAAGCTTTCATACCCATATATAAGAATTTATTGACTGAAGATTATACATAAGAGTTGCATAATCGAAATAATTATTTTTTACTCGTACTTAATAAATTGCTAGTTTTTTTTCTGGATATAAGTTTTTCATCTCAAAAAAATGCATAATTCAGTAGCATTTTTAATACATTAATAATAACGTTTTTATTACTATATAAAAATTGTATTCCTATCGATTTACGCTGTTATTTTTGACAGAGAAACTTTTAAATTATAATACGATATAATAGAATAAAAAATTCAAATATATACCGTTATGGTTATTGTTTTGTTGTTCACCATTCGTATTCTATCCAAGATGTAAATACAATTAAAGATTATCGTTACTCACCGAAATTACTGCAGTGGAAAGAACAATTCTGTCAGATATCAAAATAGATCCATCTACCCTCTGTCCCCCACGTCGCTGAATTGAATCCACCGATTCCTCAAAAATATTGGGCTGCAGATCGATCAACTTCAAGGCTTTATTGGTCTTCGATAATTCCACTTATGTCGTTCTTACTGTATTCAGGACTATTCAAACAGAACTCTTCGAAGTCATGACGGGGCGAGATAACCAAAAGCCCTTTAAACGTCAAGGCCTTTCACTTTAAGGTCCTCGAACCGCGGAGTGAAAATATCCTTCGGTAAAGATTCAAAGTCCTGGAGAAACACTCATCTGCTGAGAATTTGCGATCCTCGATAATGGATTGATAGATCGTAAGACGCGCGAGAGGACACCAGATGAGTTAACTCTTTATTAATCTCATTGTTATTCAATTTTACTCGGATCGGATAGTCTTCCTTCAAATCTTATAAAAATAGCGGCGAACTAAGAAAAGTCCTTCCCTTGACACGACGCACACTTTCAGGATAGATCCTCGAAAGTTTTGAAACTCTCCGGCCACGTGACCAAAAATCTTACGCGACGCAAAAAGTTATTCCGGTAACCTTGGAACACGATCCTCGAAAGCTGAAACTGAAATCGCGTTAGATCTTTTGTAGAAATTTTCGCAGATTGCTAAAGAATTTCCGATCCCCGCTGCAGAGGATCTCTGGAGATTCTTGAAAACTTGTCGGAGTTTTCAGTGGCTCTCGATAATGTCCCAAACACTTTCCAACTGCTGCTCCACACGTCTCCAAAATTTCGAGATCTACTTCCGTAAAAAACTTGCGAGCTTTCAAGCTTTTTACAAACTAATTCGCCATCTCGTAAACTTATCCAAAAATCTGCAAGCTTTCTTATGTCTCCTTAAACTTTCGCGAGATATCTCAGACGCTCCGGGTTGCTTCCCGGAGTGTTGGCAAAGTCCCCGACTTATCTCGCAAACTTCTCCAAGGACTCTCAAGGATCCTAGGAGAATTCTGAGAATTCTCTCAGGTCACCCCGGAACACCCGAGGATTCCCTCAAACTTCCCCCGGACCAGTCGATCGCCGAGACGCGGAGAGGAAGGATGCTCGCGGCGATCAGTCACGTGGCTCTGATCTATCGATCGCGATAGATCGGTGCGTTGCGATTTACTGGCGTCCCTCTCGTCGGGGACGTCGTCGACGGTGACGTCGTCGTCGGCCGTCCGGTCGTTCGATCGCGTACACACGGAGCGGTGTGGGGCACGCGATATTCTCGGTGCTACGTGGAGGCGAGGACGTCGCGACCCTAGGCAGACGCAAACTGACGGCGCGGCGCTCGGCACCCGTTGCCGCGACGCCGTGCGTCGCGACGTCGGGCGTCCCGTCCGCCCGCGGCGACCTCTCGCACGCGCGAACCCGCCGCGCATATTCCGGAGCAGGGCAGAGCGGAGCGGAGCGGTGCCGCGCGGCGCGGCGCGGTGCGCGGCGTGGCCGCGAATCGGTGCAACGCGCGGCGCCGCGCGACGCATGCTGCTGCGCGAGCAGTCGTGCGGAAGATGAGACGACGCGGAAGAAGCTGCGAAGGATGCACGCAACAGTTGTTCGAGCATCCTTAAATTCGAGGGTGCTCGTATCTGGCGCGTACTATGGTGCGAAGATGTTCGAATTTCACGAACGAACTTTAAATTCCTCGTCGCCGACAGGATTCTCTCTCGCTCGACGCGTTTACGTCTGACGTTTTCCCGCTTGATCCTCAGCGGAGACTAAGGGGATTTTTTTTTACGCCTGTGGCATAAAACAGCAAGAATAACTGACAGTAAAACGTAAAATGTAAAGTCATATAAAGAGTAATACGATCAAAATCACTTCTCTCTCCCATGTAATTTTAAAGAACCTTTTTGACTTGATTTCACGTAAACGCCGAAGGGTCAAAAGCTTAACGAAATTGATAATATTTATTGAGTAATTTAATACCTTTTTTAATAACATATGATTTGAAAACTGTAGATATTTCAATATTTTTGTTTAGGAAAAATCAATTCGAAACCTCGTCAAAATTGAGGTTGCAAGTTACGGATATTTTTGCATATCGATTTCCATTGAAATTGGGCAAATAAATAGTTCCACTTTTGAAATATTAATGGACAATGAAAATAAGATTATGGTCTGTAGAAATCGTAATAAACGTTAACTTTATTAGAATTTCTAGTAACTCGTTAGTTAAATCGACATAGCATACATTTGTTAATCGATATATATGTATGTATACGTATCTTCATATATGAAAATATTATTACATGAAGATGCGAATATACGCAAATTTGATTCTATGCGAGAATTATACGAAAACACCAAGAATATGTAAATTCCTAAGGTTAATATCCTCAAAATTCAGAAGGTTCAAAATTCGAAGATAGAAATCCTACGTATAAGCTGCAGATGTTCCCGCATTTGAACGCTCCAAAATTAAAATTCTGCAAATTTAAGTATTCCAAGCATGAGAAAATCGCGAAATCGAAATTATTTTCGACACCGAACCGAAGTAGGCTAAACTTCGACTATTTGAATGAGGGTCTACGTAAATTAAAAAAATTGCACGCGCAAAAATAGTCGCAAATATTCTAAGATTAAGGATGCCTGCACAATTCCAAATATCGTTACTATTTGATTTGAGCCAATTTACTAAGTGCTCACACACGCCGTGCGCCACGCTAATCACATAACGCTAAATTGCAACAACAATCTGCTAATACATCTGCGCACGCGATCGTCTCGCGGAGCCGATCCTGACACGCGTATCGCGTCTCGTGACTCGCGGATCACGGCAGGCGATCCGGCAAAGTTTCGTGTCCGGCCTGACAGTGCGGCTTTGAACATGCGCGCATGTTCGCGCGTACGTATGTGTATGTGTACATGCGTGTGCATGTACGGGCACGGTAGTTTCACCGTGCAGCGGCGGGACGTCGACGTGAAACGAAACGCCGTGAGGCATGAGAACGGAATTCCCAACGGGAACATAAAGCCGCGGACGCCCCTTTTCCGGCGGCGTCTCGACGCCTGCCGACGCTCGCGTATACGTGCCACGTCACGTGGCCGACGCGCGAGATCCGGTCGACAACGCGTTGGTTGACGCGACGCATCGCGACGCATCGCGCGACGCTCAGCGCGCGAGAGACCGGAGGGACTCCTGAGAAAATATAGCGAAACGGCGCTTGACCGCGACCAGCCGCAAATGCGCTTCTGAATAGGGTTTGAGGTAAGCTTTTAAATGGACTTAACAATTTTAAAATTGAAACGAGAGAGAATAGAGAGAGAGAGAGAGAG